TTACCCAGGCTGGCCTCAAACTTGAGGTCTTCCTAACTTGGATTATAGATACAACCACCTCACCTGGGTCATGTTAGTTTCGTGTGTGTGCGCGCACGCGAACGCGCGCGTGCGCCAGCAGTCAAACTCAGAACCTTGTGCTTACCAGGCAGGTGCAGTACTGTTGAGCTACATCCCTGGCTCCAGTGTTCATTTTATTGCTCTAAAATAAATGACTGCCACCAGGGAGCTAGCTCAAGGCTTAAGTGCCTGTCTGGCAAGTACAAGGTCCTGAGTTTGATCCCTGGTACCAAAAAAAAAAAAAAAAAAAAAAATCACAGTTAGTGGTTTGAAACAACAGAAATTTAATGCTGGGGTCATAGCTCAATGGTGGTACAATGCTTACCTAGCATTCTCTAGTTTTGTTTTTTTTGGGGGGGGGGTTGTTTGTTTGTTTGTTTGTTTGAGACAGGGTCTCACTATGTAGTTGAGGCTGGCCTCGAACTTGCAGGGATTCTCCTGCCTTATCTCAAGTGCTGGGACTGCATGCCCTAGGTTTGACCGCCAGCACTGCAAAAAACAAAACAAAAACCACATAAACTTATTATCTCACATTCTTTTTAAAAAAAAATAATCTTTTGTTTATTTATTTATTTATTTATTTGGTATTTATTTGGTACAGGTTCTCACTATACAGCTCAGATTCATAGTGATCCTCCTGTCTCAGCCTCCCCAGGGCTGGGATTACAGGCATGGGCCACCACACCTGGGTTCAGTGGCCAGCACAGCAAGCAGTACTGGAGATCGAACCCAGGACCTTGAGCTTGCCTCCCTAGCCCCCTCAGTTTTTAAGAGTCAGGAGTCTGGCACATTTTAGCAGTATCCTCCACTCAGAGTTCCTCTGAATGCCTTATCTGATTAGATCTGGCCACCCAGAATCCTCTTCCTTTTGATTAACTCAAAGTCATCTGATTAGAGACCTCGATTACATCTGCAAACCCTTTTTACCTTTGCATATGACCTAATCACTGGAGTGAAATCCATCACATGCGTAGTGTTTCTCACACTCAGGAGGAAAAGATAACACCCAAGGGCATATGTACCTCAGGCTGCAAACTTGGAGACCATTTTAGGACTCTGCCTGCCACAAAATCTCAGCCTAAAAGTCACTTCCTAGGTGGGTGTGGTGGTGCACACCTGTAATCTTGCACTCAGGAGCCTGAGGCAGAGCAGGATCAGGAGTGTGAGGCCAGCAGGGACTGCACCTGGGAGAGCTCTCTCAAAAAAAAGTCACTTCTTTGAAAGGATCTTCCCTGATCCCAAGTCTAAAGTGAATCCTGCAGGCTAGGATGTGAGTACATCACTTGCTAGCATGAGGCAGACCCTGAATTTGATCACCAGTGCCACAAAAGAATTTTTTTTTTTAAGAATGAAACAGGAGGCCGGGGAGATGGCTCAGTAGAATAAGCACTTCCCTGGCAAGCACAAGGCCCTGAGTTCAATCCCCAGTTCCAGAGAGAGAGAGAGAGAGAGAGAGAGAGAGAGAGAGAGAGAGAGAGAGAGAAACAGAATGCTAGATGTGGTGGGGCACATTTGTAACGTCTGTAACCCCAGCACTCGGGAGGCTGAGGCAGGAGGATCATTGTAAACTTAAGGTCAACTGGGACTACATTGTGAGATCTTATCTCAAAAAAAAAAAAAAATTGGGAGGAGGGGTAAGACAAGTTTGCTTTATTTTCTTCCATACTATACTATATTGGGGCCTTTTTTTTTTCTTTTGCCTCAAATTTGTGATCCTCCTGCATCAGACTCCCAAGTGCTGGGGTTACAGGTGGCACCACCACACCTGGCCGTATAAGGGTTTTGGTTTTTGTCACAGGTAGTAATTATATGCTTATTTGTATTATGATTTGTTCATTAGACACATTATTATTTTGATTCTCTTTGCCCTGTGAACTTCCTGAAAGTAGGGACTTTGTTATTTTCATCACTGAATCCCAACAGTAGAGCAATGAATAAATGAAAAACTAGGCAAAGACAAATTAGCCTACTCATAACATTAATGGACAGAAAAGAGAAGGAAGAAGTGATGCAGGCTGTACTGATTGAACCAAGTCTTATTTCCCATCTCAATCCTCGCAGCTACCCTAAGATTGTTACTATTCTTGGTCCCATTTGCCCTGGGGGTGGGGGGAGTCTCAGGACAATTTTCATTTCCACAGTCACAGAGCAGATCACCAACAGGGCCAGAATCCAAGCCCCGGTCAGGACTGTTCCCACAGTAAATTTTGGAATAAGGATTTTTTTTTTTTTTTCTCCTCAAATGCCTTCAGGGCACTTTTGGCTGGCTGGAGGGTTGTGGGGATGGAACTAGAACAACCTGAAGCTGACAGCTTTGTGGAAGCAGCCACTTAAAGAACTGAGCTAGGGCCAGGCCCCCACCACAGTAAATTTTGGGACTCTTCTTTGGATTCAGAAGATTTGGCCACCTGCTGGGTGCAGTGGCACGGGTCTGTCAGCTACTTGGAAGGCAGAGAACGGAGGAAGCTCTAGTAACAATCTTAGGGTAGCTGCGAGGATTGAGATGGGAAATAAGACTTGTGAGTTTGAGGCTAGCCTAAAAAGCAAAGTAACCCTTCTTCCCCAACACACCAAAGATAGCTAAGCCAGGTGTGGTGGCATATACCTAAAATCCTAGCACTTAGAGAGATTGAGGCAGGAAGATTACAAATTGGAGCCCATTCTAGGCAATTTAGTGATTTAGAGAGGAGCCTATCTCAAAATTTTAATCTTTTTATTTTGATTTATTTATTTTTTTGAGACAGGGTCTTGCTATGCAGTTCAAACTGGGCTTAAACATACTATGTAGCCCAGGCTGGCCTTGAACTTGAAGCAATCTTCCTGCCTCAGCCTCCTGAGTGTGGGGATTACAGGCCTATACCACCACGCACAGCTTAAAAAAATTTTTTTGAAGACTGGGGATGTAGCTCAGCATGAAGGCCCTGGGCTCAGTCCCCAGTACAAACAGGCAAACAAATACAGCAATATCTTGTTTCACCAACGCTTCTATTTGCAAACAACTTGGATCAGAAATAAAAGTATTCAGCAAAATGTTGCTTCCCTTTTCAAACTCCACAACTGGGGGCAGACATGACCACAACCATCTTCCCCAAAATCATAAAACAAGTTCACAAACTGAGGCACTGCTGTAAATAGAGGAAAGGAAGGAAAGAAAAGGCAAAGAAAAACATAGAAACCCAAAAGAAACCCTGCACATGCCACACTGGCCCCACCCCCAGGGGAGGAGGAGGGAGAGGAGGAGAAAGAGAAGGAGGAGGAGGAAGAGGAGGAGGAAGAAACCCAAAAAACTGGCTTGGAGAATTGGGTCTCTCACCACTTATGGAGTTAGGAAACTGGCACAGGAACACCAGCTGGGTGTCTCAGTTCCTCTTTGAGATGGAGGTGATCAGCTGAGGTGAGATGGTATGTATGATGTCCCTTGAACATAAGCAGATGGTCACATAATGTGCAGTGGTCCCCTTGGGCCACTCCCTGCCGAAATGAAAGGCTTCCTTGGTTGGGTTATCAGGGTCCAGGAAGTCCCCAGGGAGTGAGCCCAGGGAAGACGCCTACAAATATACCATCTCAGACCAACCTGCTTAGCACAACCTGAAATGTCAGGCTCACGAGGAAGCCGGTCTGGAAGGAACCCATTGCCAACCAGAGCTGTGCATCTTACTGGCTTCTCTCTCACTGCTCAGGCAATTCCTGGGGCAGTCGGAGGCGGGTCCTTCAAAGCCTAGGGAATCCCTGGGCCTCTCCTTCTTGCCTGCCACCTTTGCTTTGCGAGGCTGCTGAGTAGTACCACGGAAGTAAGTCTTTGTGAAGAAGACAGAGCCAGAGGGAGGGAGGAAAGGCTGGCTGCTTTAGGATGGAGGCCACACCTCTCTGCCCCATGGCGTGGCTTATATCCCCACCACAGGATTCGCTGGGGGCGCTCCTTATCGCCTTCTTCCATTCTCTTTTAAAAGGGGACTCCACAACATGGCATGGTGGGGTTCACCTGTAATTCCAACACTTGGAAAGATAAGGCAGGAAGATCACAAGTTCGAGCATAGCTTGGGCAATTTAGCAAGACTCTGCCTCAAAATAAAAAAATTAAAAAGGGCTGGAGCTGGAACTCAATGCAAAGGCCCACAGTATGGAGGGGGGACTCCACCACCTGCCTTCAGCCCACAGAGACAAGGTTAGGAAAACTCGCTTCAAAATTTTTCTCCCCTATGACTTGGATGACCCCAGAACTCTGCATCAAATGAGAGAAATGGACCTGAACCAGGAAGAGCTGCACTGAGAATGGTCATGTGGCCCCAGCATAGAGGGTCACCCCCAAGCTGAGATGCCTATGAGGTGTCAGAGCTGGAAGGAAGTACAGGATGTCAGTACAACTCCCTCATTACACGCGTGGAAGGATAGGCCAGAGAGGGCGAGAACTGGTGCAAAGTCACACAGCTAGAAAAGAGGCAGGAAGCAGGGTATGGTAGTGCACACCTACAATCCCAGAGCGCAGGAGGTTGAGTCAGGGGCATCGCTGCAAGTTTGAGGCCAACCTGGGCTACACTGAATTTAAAAACCACCCTGAACTAGTGAGACCCTGTCTCAAAAAAGAAAGGCAGGCTAGACTCCACCCGGGTCATCTGTCTCTCTTTGGTGACTCCACGTGTCTTCCTGTCTGAGAAGCAGAAGAGGGAGAAGTTACCTGGGAGCAAGGCAGCAAATCTTCATCTGTTGAATGGGAGTAATGATACTGCCCTGCCAACACACCACTTGTTTATGAAGCTGGAGCAACAGGGGGGAAATGACAGTGACGTTGGTGGCAGAATTGCCTACATGGTGGCAAGAGGACCCCAGAGAGAAGGAAAAGGAAAGACACAAGGGCCTTGAGGGTGGGCCAGAGTAGATGGGCTCTACAAGTGTGGGTTCACCTTGTGGTCCTCCCCAGGTGGGGTCCAGGCCTGGCTGCCATGGATACCGTGTCCCTGGAGCATCAGATCCAGAGCGTGCAACGCCACATTAGCTTCCTGAAAAAGGAGCAGATGGCCCTGCTGCGAGACCTGCACCTGGAAATCCTGAGGCTGCAGAAACGCTGCTCAGGTGAGGCCAAGGCGCCGGCCGGGGGTGGGCAGGGCCAGTGTGCTCATGCGCACTGTATTCAGTGTGAAGCCTCACACCAATCCGGTTGTCACTTTTTCTGGATGAGGAAACTGAGGCATGGGGAGTTGGGGGAGAGATTTGGGGCTGAAGGCTGTAGTAAGGTAGCATATCAGGGAGCCCAGGAACCAGTTCTGAGGAACTTGTCTTTTTTTTTTTTTTAGTCCTAAAATTTGAACCTGGAGTCTTCGCACTGAGCTACACTTCCATCCACTTGTCCAGGCGAGACTCAAACTTAGGATCCTCCTGCCCTAGCCTCCTGTTTTGGGTCTCTCACTGTCCACTGAGTATCTCCTAGTCCTCAAAAATCCCTGGGTCCTTGCTGAGCATGGTTGCGCATATCTGTAATCCGAGCACTTGGGAGGCTGAGGCAGGAAGATCTTTAAGAGTTCCAGACTATCCTGGGCTGCAAAGTGAGCTCAAGGTCAGCCTGAACTGCATAGCAAGACCCTTTGTCAAAAAGACACACACACACACACACACACACACACACA